TCCGGATTTTTCCAAGAGCACAAAGTCTTTGTGAGTTTTGGTCGGTATAAAGAGATCACCAGGATCTAGTCGGTACAAAGAAATGGATTAGTAGGATCTAGTCTGTATCAAGAGGCGAATTAGTAGAATCTAGTCAGTATAAAGAGGCGGATTATTAGGATCTGCTTACACATCAACCAGGATCTTGTCAGTAAAAGAGGAGGATTAGTAAGATCTAGTCAGTATAAGGAGGCGGATTAGTAGGATCTAGTCAGTATAAAGAGGCAGATTAGTAGGATCTAGTCAGTATAAACTATAAAGGGGCGGATTAGTAGGACCTAGTCAGTATAAAGGGACGGATTAGTAGGATCTAGTCAGTATAAAGTGACGGATTAGTAGGATCTAGTCAGTATAAAGGGACAGATTAGTAGGATCTCCCTACGTATCAACCAGGATCTTGTCAGTAAAAGAGATCAGCAGGATCTAGTCAGTACAAAGAAACGGATTAGTAGGATGTAGTCAGTATAAAGAGACAGATTAGTAAAATGTAGTCAGTATAAAGAGACGGATTAGTAGGATCTAGTCAGTATAAAGGGACGGATTAGTAGGATCTAGTCAGTACAAATAAACGGATTAGTAGGATCTAGTCGGCATAAGGAAACGGATTAGTAGGATCTAGTCAGTATAAAGAGACGGATTAGTAGGATCTAGTCAGTATCAAGAGACGGATTAGTAGGATCTAGTCAGTACAAAGAAACGATTAGTAGGATCTAGTCGGTATCAAGAGACGGATTAGTAGGATCTAGTCAGTACAAAGAAACGGATTAGTGGGATCTAGTTAGTATAAAGGGACGGATTAGTAGGATCTAGTCAGTACGAATAAACGGATTAGTAGGATCTAGTCGGTATAAAGAGACGGATTAGTAAGATCTAGTCGATATAAAGAGACGGATTAGTAGAATCTAGTCAGTATAAAGAGACGGATTAGTAAGATCTACCTACGCATCAACCAGGGTCTAGTAAGTATAAGAAAAGGATCAGTTGTAAGATCTTATCGGTAAGTTCTTACCTTAACAAACTTACCTGTAGGAGCCAACAGTGTTCACACACTGACCATGGACACAAAGATCTTTCCGACACTCGTCGATGTCGTGCGTACATGTGCGTCCAGTAAACCCCTCGGTGCACGTGCAGCGATAAGAATCGTGTAAGGCCTGGCAGGACGCACCGTTCCGACAAGGTTGGGAAGCACAGTGGTCCACTAATTCACAGTGGTTGCCTGGAAAACGATGAACTGTTGAAGTTTTCGTGTCTCATTAGCCAATCATCAGTTTTAGAATGAAAATCTCGTGTCTGATTGGCCAATTATCAGTTTTAGAATGAAAATCTCGTGCTGATTGGCCAATTATCAGTTCTAGAATGAAAATCTCATGCCTGATTGGCCAATTATCAGTTTTAGAATGAAAATCTCATGCCTGATTAGCCAATTATCAGTTTGAGAATGAAAATCTCGTGTCTAATTAGCCAATCATCAGTTTTAGAATGAAAATCTCGTGTCTGATTGGCCAATTATCAGTTTTAGAATGAAAATATCGTGCCTGATTAGCCAATTATCAGTTTGAGAATGAAAATCTCGTGTCTGATTGGCCAGAAAAGATAAGACTGTAGTTTTGTATAATTCGTACGACTTGTGCTGTAACCAAACGTTTGGATGCTTTAAAGGTTATTGTAGAAAACGTTCACCTAAACTGATGAGAATAATAATCTAAGTTTAAAAACCAGTGGTTCGTATCTCATCATAGTAGTCGATACGATACGTATCTAGATACAGAAGTTTTACCACAAAGTTTATTACAAAGTTTGACAGTCTTGTCTGTAATTTATTATCTATATTACTAACATTGTCTTGTTTAAGTACTTCACACTTTACAGTGATTTTTCAAATTCTCATGTTTGATCAACTAAATGGCAGCTGGCAAGAGAAATAAAATAAAAAAGTTAATACCCGTCTATCTATTTTGTTATTGTTAATTTGTTATGTTACTTTGCACGTAATGTTTTTGATAAAATAAATAAAGACAACATGTAGTACTCAGTACTCATCTTTATATACTGAATCATTAATTTTTAGCAAAAAACTTTATTAGAAATTCTGACTAATAGTGTTTACTGAAAAACTTGCCAAATCACATACACCTTTAGTAAGAACCTGAGATGTACGATGTTATATAGCTTGTAATTACTACACGTATAAAGTTACACCAGTTTTACAAATCCAGAAGGATTAGTAGTTCGGTTACGTAAAGAAATATTGTTTATTATAGGCATACACGATCGGTAATCTGCAGCTTGTTCCCATGTGTTATATTCAACACATAAAAAAAAACCAAAACCTAAGGGGGGGGGGGGATCAGCTTTAACCATTATACTGCTGAGAGTGTCGAGATGTTGACAAGATAGGCCGCCAGGTGACGCCTACAGCTGCTGCGTCTATTTCACTTTATAAAATATGCTGTGTGTCAATTAAAAGCCAAACGTATCGTGTTACGAGCTACAAAGCTTCCCCTTCAGATGAGCAAAAACAGCCGCAAATCTCTAACTATGGAAACAGATGGGATCCTCAGTGCTTGTAGCCATGACAACACATGTAACCACACACAACTAACAAATGTAACGAATAAAAATAATTTATGTCGTGCTAACAAAAACCTTTTACTGATATTAAGCGAAAGTTTCATGCATAAAAAGATTACTTTTATTACTCCAGTACCACAGCGTAGTCAGCCAGTCTTAAAATTTATATAAAGAGTAGAATATACAAAAATAATTATAGCTACACACCGTTTATTGGTCCTAAATATGTGTAGTAACACCCCGTTTATTGGTCTTAAATATTTGTAGTAACACCCCGTTTATTGGTCTTAAATATTTGTAGTAACACCCCGTTCATTGGTCTTAGATAAGTGTAGTAACATCCCGTTTATTGTTCTTAGATAACTGTAGTAACATCCCGTTCATTGGTCTTAGATAAAGGTAGTAACATCCCGTTCATTGATCTTAGATAAAGGTAGTAACATCCCGTTCAATGGTCTTAAATAAGGGTAGTAACATCCCGTTCATTGGTCTTAAATAACTGTAGTAAGAGCCAGTTCATTGGTCTTAGATAAGTGTAGTAACACCCGTTCATTGGTCTTAAATAAGTGTAGTAACATCCCGTTCATTGGTCTTAGATAAGGGTAGTAACATCCCGTTCATTGGTCTTAGATAAGGGTAGTAACATCCCGTTCAATGATCTTAAATAAGGGTAGTAACATCCCGTTCATTGGTCTTAAATAACTGTAGTAACAGCCAGTTCACTGGTCTTAAATAACTGTAGTAACACCCGTTCATTGGTCTTAGATAAGGGTAGTAACATCCCGTTCACTGATCTTAAATAAGGGTAGTAACATCCCGTTCACTGATCTTAAATAAGTGTAGTAACACCCCGTTCATTGGTCTTAAATAAATGTAGTAACAGCCAGTTCATTGGTCTTAGATAAGGGTAGTAACATCCCTGAACGGGATGTTACTACCCTTATCTAAGACCAATGAACGGGATGTTACTACACTTATTTAAGACCAATGAACGGGTGTTACTACACTTATCTAAGACCAATGAACCTGATCTTAAATAAGTGTAGTAACACCCCGTTTATTGGTCTTAGATAAGTGTAGTAACCTCCCGTTCATTGGTCTTAGATAACTGTAGTAACACTCCGTTCATTGGTCTAAAATAAATGTAGTAACATCCCGTTCATTGGTCTTAGATAAGAGTAGTTACAACCGTTCATTTGTCTTAGATAAGTGTAGTAACACCTCGTTTATTGGTCTTAAATAAATGTAGTAACATCCCGTTCATTGGCCTTATATAAGAGTAGTGACACCCGTTCATTTGTCTTAGATAAGTGTAGTAACACCCCGTTTATTGGTCTTAAATAAATGTAGTAAAACCCCGTTTATTGGTCTTAAATAAATGTAGTAACATCCCGTTCATTGGTCTTAGATAAGAGTAGTAACACCCGTTCATTGGTCTTAAATAAATGTAGTAACATCCCGTTCATTGGCCTTATATAAGAGTAGTAACACCCGTTCATTGGTCTTAGATAAGTGTAGTAACATCCTGTTTATTGGTCTTAAATACGTGTAGTAACACCACGTTCATTGGTCTTCGTAAGTCATTTTTGTTAAAAGACCAGAAGAAAAAATAAAAACATCATTTACAAATTGTTTTTACTGACGCTTCAACTGCAGACATTAATTCAGGTTTGTTTGCTTGTTATTAAGCGCAAAGCTAGACAATGGGCTATCCGTGCTGCGCCCACAGCAGGTATTGAAACCCAATGTTTTTAGTTTGATAAGCCCTGAGACTTTTTGCTGAGCCACCGAAGCGAGGAACATTAATTCAGAAGTGGTGAGAAGTCATTAAAGGTTTGGTTTGAATTTCGCGCAAGGCTACACGAGGGCTATCTGCGCTAGCATTCCCTAATTTATTGTTGAAAGACTAGAGTGAAGGCAGCTAGTCATAACGACCCACCGCCAACTCTTGGGCTACTCTTTTACCAATGAATAGTGGGATTGACTGCACCATTATAACACCCCCACGGCTGAAAGGACGAGCATGTTTGGTGGGATGGGGATTCGAACCCGCGATCGGCAGATTGCGAGTCGACCGTCCTAACCATCTGATAGGACCAATGATAGACCGCATTTAGCAACTGTATAGATAATTCATCAACACAAGAAACAATGATAGGACGCATTATAATAATTCTGGTAAGGTCAGTTTTTAGGCTAGTAAACAGACGCCAACCGTTTGAAGGCCTAAGTTGGACAAATTCAACAACTTTTTGTTATTTTTCAGAATTTGTGTTTACTGGATGGACTTAGGTAAAGTTACCGAAAAACTGATTCAACTTTTGTACAAGCCGTGACGAAAGTCTTTTTTTTTAACTTAATTATCAACAAATTTAACAACTTATACAAACAATACAAATAACGATGAATACAGAAAAATAGCTTTTCAAGAACTACAAATTACATTATAACCCTACCTCTGAATCCTGCTGCGCATGTGCAGGTGTACTTGTCCAGCGTTATGAGGGAGCACGTGCCTCCGTTCTGACAAGGATCACTGTCACAACTATTTGGAAGAGCAATCTCGCAGAGAGAAGCCGAATAACCCACGGGGCAGGTGCACGTGAAGGTCGGGCCACCAGAGGAACTTACACCCACGTAACAACTACCACCGTTCTGGCATCTCGGCCCAGCCCCCGTGTGGCAGGGGTTCATATGTTGACAGTATTCTCCAACAAACATCGGAGTACAGCTAGTATATGAAAATCACAACACATATCCAAGTTACAAGTGTTAAATATAAAAACCCGAACAGCTAAAATACGAAATTTAAAATACATACATTCAAGTTTTTTGTTTCAAAATATAAAAATGAAAAGGAGGAGACACGAAAATCCAGAATTTCAGTGTTTGGTGATAAACGTTAGGACTAGAAAGTTACATAATAATAAAAATTAAACGAAACAGATCTTTAGCTTATACAGTTAAAATTAACAAGTTTGACAACTGACAAAAAAAATACCAATAACGATATAATAATGGAAAGCATAATTTTGATAAAAAAAAAGTTATAAAAAAAACAATCTTTACACTCAGTGGCACAGCGGTATGT